ATTCCAAAGAGCGGTGACTCAAAGAAACGTGGAAATCATCAGACAATATTATTAATAGCACATGCAACTAAAATTTTGCTAAAGATAATTCAACAATGCTGCAACAGTACATTGACAGGACACTGTCAGAGGCTCAAACCAGATGCAGAGGAGGAAGTGGAATGAGGGACATCATTGCTGACGTCAGATGGATATGGACTGAAAGCAGAGAATACCAGAAAGGTATTTCCCTGTACTTTATTGACTTTACAATGACTTTTGAGTATGTTATGACAAGCTATGGACAACATTGTGGAGAATGGGTATTCTGGAACACCAAAAGGCAGTTGTTCAAATAGACCAAGGAAAAAAAATTAGGAAAGGTGTGCACCTGGATTGTATTCTTTCACCATACTTATTCAGTCTGTACAATGAGCAAATAATCCTAAAAGCTGTATTATATGAAGAAAACGTGGCATCAGGATTGGAGGAAGATTCATTAACAACCTGTGATATGCAGAGGATACAACCTTGCTTGCTGGAAGTGAAGAAGACTTAAAATACTTGCTAATGAAGATAAAGACCATAGCCTTTGGTATGGGTTGTACCCTCAATGCAACAAAAACAAAATCCTCTCCTCTGGATCAATAAATAACATCAAGATAAATGGAGAAAAGAATGAAATTGTCAACAACTTGATGGAAGTAACATGAAATCAAGAAATCAATCTACTGCATTAAGCCATTCTGTTGCACAAGACCTTGAAAATTGGACAATGAATAAGGAAGACTGTAGAAGAATAGATGCATTTGAGTTATGGTGTTGGAGAAGATTATTAAAAGTACCATGGACTGCCAGAAGAACAAACTGATCTGTGTTGGAAGAAAATACAGCCAGAACGCTCCTTAGCAGCCTGGACGGTGAGACTTCATCACCCATACTTCTGAGGTTCCTGTCCTAGAGAAGGACATCACGCTTAGTAAAGTGGAAGACCAGTGAAAAAGAGGAAGACCCCAACGAGACATATTAGCACTGTGGCAGCAGCAATGCGATCAAGTTTAACAGTGATTTATGAGAATGTCACAGGACCGGGCAGTGTTTCTGTTGGGCTCAGGGAACTGACCCAATGGCAACTAACAACAACGGCAAGAGATGAGACTTCACTTTGGATTTCTAGCCTCCTAAACTGTGAGACAATATATCTGTTTATTAATGTCAATTAAAAAAAAAAAAAAAAAGGTTGAAGGTTCAAATCCACCCAGAGACACCTCAGAAGAAAGGTCTACTTTTTAAAAAAAATCAGCCACTGAAAACTCTATGAAGCACAGTTCTACCTCTGACATAAATGGGCTCACAATGAGTCAGGATCATCATGATGTATCGGAATCCCCCTATGTGCCAGAACCAACTCTATGGCACTTAACATGTAAACAAAAAGGATGTCAATGTGTGGTGCTGTGGGTTAATGCGCAGAACTACAAGGTTGTCTGAAACACAAGGTTAGCAATTCAAGATCACCAGCCACTCCTCGGAAACCCTATACAGGGTCACAACTCAACAGCATTTAATAACAACATACATGTAACTGGTACCAAGCTGTACATAAAGGTCTCTCATTTTTAATGGTATATAATTAATATCTCATCATCTGTGTTTGTGGTTGTTGTTAAGTGCCATTGAGGCACTTCCAACTCATACTGACCCTGTATAGGATTTCCAGAGACAGGCTGGTGGGTTGGAACCATCAACCTGCAGTTCAAACCAACCCTGAGGTCCAGTGCTTATCCCACAGCGTCACACCAGGACTCGTATCAATCATATGCACATATCATGATATATTTAACCCATCTCCTATAGTTAGATTTTCAGTTTCTTCATTACTATAAGCACCTCTCTGTGCATGTGTTTTTGCTACAATTGAAGGAAATGAAAGCACACAGTTTTCAGCACTGATGCTACAGTGAAAGTGGCAGCCCTGCTTGAGTAGCCGCTTCTCCCCATTTACTACAGGTAGTCTCCTGGGACTCTGCTTGCCCCTCCCTTTACTTGCCCTTGTCCTCAGAGGTTACAAAGTTCTTTTCTTTTTATTTAGTGTTCCAGGGGATAAACTAAGAAAATACAATACTCTGAAACTTGCTATACTTTGTAGCTAAATCCCAAACAACAAAAAAGGGGTATGTCAAACACCTTACCTAGGTGTTCTTCTCAAGCAAGGATGTCAGAGAAAATTAAGTCTAAATAAACCCAAGGCCTCCATCCATATGTACTGAATTAACTTCTCTTAATATGTATAACCTGCTAGCTATGCATCATCTTTGACAAACTGAAAAAGTCATTCAAATCACTTTTTCTCCCCTGGTGTGGCACTGTGGGTTAATGAGCCAGACTGCAAAGCCATTTGAACGAGGAGGTCGGCAGTTCAAGCTTACCAGCTGCTCCTCGGAAACCCTACACAGGGTGGCTATGGGTCGGAATTAACTCGACAGCACTTAACAACAACAAGGGATCTGCACTGGTCTGCAAACCCCAAAGTCAGCAGTTCAAATCCACCAGCTGCTCCCTGGACTCTATACAGGGTTGCTATGAGTTGGAAACAGCTTGATGGCACTAAACAACATGACATTTCTTTCCTTTACAGTACAAGACAGACACTATACTTCTACACTAACAGAGTCTACTATACACCTATTGGAAGAAGTGCAGCCAGAGTGCTCCTTGGAAGCCAGGATGGCCAAACTTCGTCTTTCATACTTTGGACATGTTGTCAAGAGGGACCAGTCGCTGGAGAAGGATATCATGTTTGGTAAAGTGGAGGGTCGGTGAAAGAGGGTAAGACCCTCAATAAGGCGGATTGCCACAGTAATGGCAGCAATGGGCTCAGGCGTAGCAATGATTGTGAGGTTGGCCCAGGACCAGTGCTCTGTTCTGTTGTGCATAGGGTCGCTATGAGTCGGTACCGACTCGATGGCACCTAACAACAACTGTACGACGACAACTGGGTTGATTTTAAATCTTAAATAAAATTTCTCACACAGAATAATTTAAATTGATTACCAACTAAATAAAAGTTTTCTTACACTAGTTAAAGCCTAAATCCTGTCCCCTGAAACCAATCCATTAGAATATAATCCTAGGGTATTCGTAAGGGGTTTTATCATAAACTGGGAATCATTTTACACACCCATGACAGATATGCAGTTTATGTGCCAAGCTAACATTAATATATCACAGGAAAGCAATTTTGCAACATGTTCAGTGTCTACTGAAAATAGCTACGCAAGTTCCCACAGGGCTATAAGTGAAAGCAGTTAGTTTCCTCACGTGTAACTGGACCAGAGGTCAGAAGGCTGTTCAGAGCACCCCAGAAGTTATCCTTTGTATTTCATCCAAACTAACATTATTGACTAAACCTCTCTTTTTACTAAGTCACGTGAAACTACTATATCAATTCAGCATTATGTACCCCTGATGCATGAAGGACGAGGGAGGCCTGGTGTGATGCTGCCAGTTAATGCGCTGGACCAAAAGGTCTGTTTAAACCGTAAGGTCGGAGGTTCAAGCTCACCAGCAGCTCCTCAAAAACCCTATACAGGGTTGCTATGAGTTAGAACCAACTCAAGGGCACTTAACAACAACCCGCATGAAGGAGGGAAAGTAATTCTACTGCAGAAAAGGCCAGGGAAACAGCATCTTCTGAGGACCTGTTTCCTACATTAACACATTGGCTTCATAGAAGGCTCTTTCATTTTTCAATTTTCTTATTCTCTTTAAGAAACACTAAAATCCATTTTATTTAAGCATGTCAAACTCCTTGAATTTCTGTTCCACCCCCTTCTTGAAAAACAGACAGCCACCAAATTGAAAAGCCAACAGTTGTCTATGGGATGAGATACAAATGGCTCACAAAAGGAAATCAACACACATAATAATTCCCACCAATCAGAACCAAGATGGTATGACTCATCCTAACAGGTGGTTTCCAAGTAAACAAAGATTTGTTAAGTTCCTTATCTAGGTGATCTGAATGTATCTGTATATAGATGCAAGTAAAAATATTTTCGGAAGGTCCAGTTGAAAACTTTAAGGATTCCGAACTGGCTCATAGTTTTGAAGCAACTTTTATTCCACCATATTCTCTCCTAATAACACATGGGCCTTTTAAGTAAATAAAAATGTTGTTTTATAATGTACTAATTTTAAGACATTTCAGGAGATGTTGAGAGTCAATCTGAAATGCTATGAACCACACAAAAATCTCAGATTTAACAACAACAAAAACTATTTCTTAGATAAGAAGTGAAAAACTTTTTTCCCTCTTCAATGGCAGGTTCACATTCATTTATTTACTACTGAGTTTAAAATTTAATAAAGTGGCATTTCTATCTTTGACAGATTCGAAACAATCAAAGGAATGCAAACAAATAGAACTACAAAGTTAAAAAAAAAAAAAACTTTAAAGAGCAGCAAAGAATATACGCGGAAGCTTCAAAAAGTCTGGGCAACGACTGCATCCTTTAAATTCCATTTTTCCATGAGAGCTCCTTAAATGTACGGGAGAGGGGGTTTCAAACGTTTGGATAACGGATAACGAGCTAAAAAAAATGAGTGAGCACGTCCACTTACAGTTTGCCCCGCCCCCTGAAACACTCAGTTAAAAACTCACGTTTAGATGCAAGATACAAATCGATCGCCACCTTCCCATCCCTCCCCTCCCCTTGGAGGTCAAAGGGATCCTCACACAACACAACACAAGCACGTGACAAAAGTTTCTTGCAACACTTTCTCTTCCTCAGCCTAGAGGCTGTGCTCTTCCGAGGTGCGGGGTCAGAAACGACCTGCGGGCCAGCGGAGGGGCTGCGAGCCCGGGAGGGCAGGAAGGGGGTCTGCCGGGGGGGGGAAGGGGGGGCGAGGGGGCGGGTATGGGCCGTGAAGGACCAGCCCAGCGAAGGTGAGGGCCGCCGAGGTACGGGCACCTCCCGAGAGCGCAGCGACCCGGCGGGGCCGAGCACGCGGCCTGTTACCTTTTCCTGCTCCTCGCGGAGCCGCGCCACCTCTGGGGCGCGCAGCGGCGCCGTGGCCGAGACCGAGGCCGAGGCTTGGGGCCCCGAGTCGGACGAGGCCTCCATAGCGAGAGTGCCGGGGGCGGCGAGGCCGGCGGGACTCAGCGGGGCGAACGAGTCCTAAACAAGTGTTTATGGAAGCGGCGTGGCCGGCGGCTGCCCTGCGCCCGCGTGCTCGCCCTCATCCACTGCGCGCCCGGGGCTGAGGAGGCCGCGCTCGCGTTATCCGCTGCTGCGGCGGCCGCTACTTGTGTCCCGGCTGCCCGCGGCCACATTTCACACGCGCATGCCGCCCGCTGCTGCCACCGCCACCGCGGGCTCCGAGCAGCAGGCCGACGGGTCGAGAGCAGGAGGTCGCTCTCCGCAGCCGGGCCGAACCAGGCGTCCAGTGACGGCCGCGCCTCCTCCGCAAGCCCCGCCTTTCGCCCCGCCCCGCGCGGCATGCCGTGAGGCGCGCGCGCACACACGCGCTCAGACCCCGCCCCCACGGGTCCGACAATTTGAGGCAAGACGAAGGAAGTAGCTTTACCCTCTTGAGTGCTAGGTAGGTACTGTTCTCCGCGTAATAGACACCAGGGGCTGATTACCCAAAAAGCAAGGTAAACAAACTCTTCGCTACAAACTAGTAACTAAACACAAGTAAACCCGTGCTTACATTGTTTACCAGGTAATCCGCCCCTATCCGGGATTGCAAATTTGAAAATGGGCTTTGGGTTCTGTAGGAAGGTGCTTTGGGGTTGGGAGAGAGACAGATGCCAGCCAGACCTAGATGCAGAATCTTTGATATTTTTGATGTGGTGAAAAATACTAACTTGTTCACTGTAGTAAGTTCATTCTTGCCTTGCTTACTGGGAGACACCTCCTGAAGCCATCAAGTAGCGTGCATCTGTGAGTCTGCATTGAGACAGCGGTATTGTAGACCTGGGTTCCCCTCCCCTCCCCTCCCTTCGATTGGCGGTCTGAGTGTAGTTCTGTAGCGTGCACACTAAAGCGGCTCCATAAGTAATTTAATCTTGGCAAATTCAACTCTTTATTGGGCCTTTTTAATGAATTAAAATATACAATTATATTTTGTATACGTATTCATTACTGTACATGTTATAAATTCTCCTTATACAAGTATTAAACTATGTGCTTAATATATGTATAAACTATTTAAGAGATTTATCAAGAAGTTTTTCCAGTATTCTCCTATTTTATAGCTCAGTGCCCTAGGCCTCCTCCAACCTGTATAAGTCTTCTGTATGCAGTGGTGACATTAGAGTCAGCTAGTCGGCAGTTCAAGCTCACCATTCGCTCCTTGGAAACCCTATACAGGGTCGCTATGGGTCGGAACCGACTTGACGGCACTTCACAACAACAATAAACCGCTCTGGTAGTGCGTACAGTAGTTACGAATGGGGCTGCTAACCTCAGGGTCAGCAGTTCGAAACGACCAGCTGTTCCTCGGGAGAAAGATGAGGCTTTCTGCTCCCGCAAAGATTTACAGCCTCGATAACCCTGTACAGGGTCGCTATGAGTCGGACAACAATAAACCATGTTTGACCTGTGCATTAAAAAAAAAACAAGCGTTACCAGGTCTTTTACCTGCTGGTGGCTGGCTGAGTGCCGTGGAGTCGGTTACGACTCATAGTGACCCTATATAGGTTTTCCGAGGCTGTAAATCTGTACGGGAGCAGAATGCCTCCTCTTTCTCCCGCCAAACAGCTGGTAGTTTCGAAGTGATGACCTTGTGGTTCGCAGCCCCATTCGTAACCACTACGCTACCAGAGCTCCTTTTACCTTTTGGTACTCATTGGTATATTTGAGTCCATTGTTGGAGCTGTTGTATAGTGCCTTCCAACCTATGGGGCTCATCTTACAACACTATGCTGTTTATTGTGAAGTACAGTGGAGTCGGTCCCTCCTCATAGCGATCCTGTACTGGGTTTCCAACGAGCGGCTGGTGAGATTGAACTGCCCACCTTGCAGTTCAAACCAAGCTTGTGGTCCAGTGCTGTTCTATAGCACCACACCAGGACCCTCCAACACTAGAGTGGAATATTCTGCTGTGACCCGTAGGATTTTCATTGGCTCATTTTCACACCAGCCCTTTCTTCCTCGTTTGTCTTAGTGTGGCAGCTCTGCTACAACTGGTCCGCCATGGGTGACCGTGCTGGTATTTGAAATACTAGTAGCATAGCTTCCAGTCACTTAGTAACTTGCAAGCCATCACAGTATGACAAAATGACAAACAAGTGATAGCATAGACAGTAGCCCCCTAGTTAATGCTTACTGAAGGAAACTCTGTTCCAGTCTCCAGTAGAAGGGATGGATCAGCACTGTACACACAGAAATGGGCTTCAGGGTACCTGGTGTGTGTCTGGGTCCCTGCCTCATGTCTGGCCAGCTTCCCATTGCGGATCTACCTTTTCTCAGTCACTTCAAAGAAAACAGCAAGGACAGCTTGGTCAGAGAGTGAATGTGGGTGTCACTCTTTTCCTCATTGCATAGCCAACCATCAACATCACGTGGAATCTGACCTCTCCTTACAGCCTCCTCCAACACCACCATCATCTCTCCATCTGCAACTACCACAGTAGCTACCTCTCTGGTCTCACTGCTTGCACCTGAAATGGACCTTGTTAGCAGCTGCCCTCCCTCCTACCCTTACTCTGGATTCAGTTGTCAGCCCTCCCCGACACTGCCCCTGTGCCTATGGGAACTGAACCTCATTCCCAGCTCATCTCTAGGCAATCCACTTTCCTTGCATGTAGTTGTTTCAGGACTGGGCATGTAACCCCACACAAATACAAGTGCCCAAAGGCTCTCGAAAAGGAGCCCTGGTGACACTGAGGGGTAGGCATTGGGCTGTTAAATGCAAGGTCAGCGGTTCAAACTCATCAACCACTCCAAGAGAGAAAGATGAGGCTGTCTGCTTCTGTAAACATTTACAGTCTCAGAAACCCTATGTAGGGTCACAACAACTCTAGGGCAGTGGGTTTGGTTTGGAGTATAGGCTTCTGAGAGGAGCTTTGGTGGTGCACTGGCTAAAACACTTGGCTGCTAACTGAAAGGTCAGAAATTCTAACCTACCCTCTGCTTCACGGGAGAAAAGTGTGCCAGCCTGCTTCCATAAACATTTACAACCTTGGAAACCCTATGTGGCAGTTCTATGCTATCCTGCTATGTCACTGCGAGTCCGTATGGCGCTGTGGATTAATGCTCTGGATTGCAAGGTCAGTTTGAACTACAAGGTCAGCAGTTCAAGCTCACCAGCTGCTCCTCGGAAACCCTATACAGGGCCGTTATGGGTCGGAACCAATTCGACGACAGCACTTAACAACAATAACAGTGTCTTTAATATTCTGAATAGACTCAACTTGGGGATAGGCTTCTGAGAAAGTTCTTCCTTATTCTTTGGAAGTGCTTCATAAAAAGGTACAAAGCATATAGCCCTTGTTGTAGACCACCTGGACACCTGGTGGTGGTGGTGGTAATGGTTATGTGCCATCAAGTCAGTTCCGACTCATAGTGACCCTGTATAGGGTTTCCAAGGCGGTAAACCTTTATGGCAGAAGAAACCTTCATCTTTCTCCTGTGGAGTGGTCTTTCGGTTAGCAGGTCAGCTTGTAACCCACTATGGTACCAGGACCCCTGGACACGTCTTGTTGTTAAGTGCCGGTGAGTCAGTTTCCATCCACAGAAACCCTGTATAGGGTTTCCAAGGAGCTGCTGGTGAGTTTGAACCACCAGCCTCTTCTTAGACTAGGATAAAGCTGGATGGATGGATAGCAGAGCCTAGAGACAGAACCTAATTCTTGACTACACCCCAGAAGTTTATTTAATCAACCAACATTGAAGTCTGGACAGCTACAAGAGGCCAGTCAATTACCTGATTGATTTGGCAGTTTGTATCAGATTTTCTATCACTAGAAGCCAAAGACATCTGATCCATACATCCCTAATCTATTCTCCACTCCGCAGCCAGAATAGCTTTTTAAAAAATAATCAGATCCTATCTGATTCTATCCTATCACTCTCTTTTTAAAAAATCCTTGTAGCTTCCAGCTGCAACTTGAAAAACATCAAGGATCTTCTGAAATTGGCCCACTCTTTTCACCTTTCAAGGTTACTGCCACTTGTCCCCCCCACTGTGGTTTCTCCCTTCCTCCTGCACTTGAAGCTAGTGCCTGCCTCAGGGTTTCTGCGCTTGCAGCTCCTGCTTCCTGCAATAGTTCCCCAGATCTCTTTGTGGTTGACTACTTTCTTTTTTTTGTTTTGTTTTGTTTTTTTCATTGTTTGTTTATTTATTTATTTATTTTTATTTTTCTTAAATGTTTTATTGTGAATTATGTGATAGTTTACATGGGAGTGTGGTTGACTACTTTCATCCCTCAATTCTCACTTCAAATAAGGAGGCTTTCCAAAGCATACCTTCTACAGTAGCCCTCCCCTCTCTTTCAAGAACCTGCTAGCACCTCATTTTCTTCTTTTCTTCATAGCACTTGTAATTCTGAAAGTATCCATTTTATCTGGTTCCTTCCAATGGAATGAATCTTCTTTTCTTCCAGAGCTCTTCTGAGTGGGTTCCTGGCCTTTAAAAATAAACTCATACTACCTAAGGAGCTCTGGTAGCGTTGTTGTTGTTAGGTGCCATCAAGTCAGTACCGACCCATAGTGACCTTATACACAGCAGAACGAAACACTGCCCGATCCTGGGCCAACCTCACTACTGTGGACACGCTTGAGTCCATCGATGCTGCCACTTGGCCAATCCATCTCGTTGGGGGTCTTCCTCTTTTTCTCTGACCCTCCACCTTACCAAATATGATGTCCTTCTCCAACCCCTGGTCCCTCATGACAGTATGTCCAAAGTATGAGAGACAAAGTTTGGCCATCTTGGCTTCCAAGGAGCACTCTGGCTGTACTTCTTCCAAAACGGATCTATTTGGTTCTTTTGGCAGCCCATGTC